AACGTGCAAAGCAAAATGAGAAGTGCTTGCAGGTGAAACTATTTTACAATGTTTGATTATTGCATACATGACTGTTAGTAAATATAAAAATAGGTAGATATAAAACAGAAAATGAGATAATCACGCCCTTCAATTAGCAATAATGGTGTTATCTCCTTACAAAATTATTCATGTACATTGCTATGGTCTGAATGTGTGCCCCCAAATTTCTACTTTGGAAGTTTACTCCGCAATACAACAGAAGTGGGACCATTCGGGAGGTATAAGAACACAGAAGGACCTCAGGAATGGATTCATCCCTGGGATCTCTCTTTACTTTCCACCCTTGAATGTGTGGACATTCAAGAATGGGTCCTCCAGTTCAGGTGCCTTTTTCAGTATCTTGAGTTCTTTGCCTTCAGAATGCAATGTAGGTTTGGTGGTTAAGTATAGAGGCTGGTTTGAATTCAGATTCTGCCTTTTCCCCCCTTGTTGTTTTAAGGTAGAGTCACACTGTCATCCTGGCTGCTTAGAACTCACTATATAGATCAGGGTGGCCTTGAACTTGTATCCATGGTCTCTTCAACCAACACCTACTTATTAGGCTTTTTCCAATCTTATAATTATTAACAATAAAGCATTCAATATCTTTGTAGACACATATGAGTTTATCCTATGGAAAATACTGATTTCCTCTTCAGAACTGAACCATTTTAATGAAATCTGATGTATGCATTTTTATCTATTACTTACTGGCATTTCTTCTTATGAAGAACAATCACCACTACCAACCCTCTGCTATGTTCCCTTCCCAACACCACAGTTTAGGCTAATGTACCTTTGTAGTAGGTTTAATTTTTTTTTTCTTTTCTGACAGTGCTGAGGACTATTTTATTATATAACTAAAGTACCCCATTACTAGTCATCTTTCTCAAAAATTTATTCCATGAACTGTGATGTTTTCAAGTAAAAAAAAAAAGAACTTTAATTAGAATTACACTAAATATTATCTTGGATGTTATGTAAATATTTTTATAATAAGAAATTTTCTCCCATCTAGAAACACTACATTTCAACACTTATTCAAGTCTGCTATGTAAAATTTTACTGTTTCATTTATATTATTTTAATTGTTTCAAGGCTGGAAATACAGTTTAATAGTTGAGCACATGCTTAGCCTATGTAAGGCCTTAGGCTAAATCCTCATCAGTAAAAAATATATATATATTTCTATAAATATAAAAAGGGAGAAGACTTTTAAATTAATATTGGAATCAAGCAGCACCATGATATGAAAAGGGTCTGAAAAGATTAATATTCAATGAGCAAATACTACGTCCCACATGAAACCAGTGAGTCATCTATACAAGTCATTTCAGCTTCTGCTTGTGACTTAGAAGTGACTCTCACCATCATTTTAGAAAGGAAGACACTGAGTCTCAGAATCATAACAATAATCTACTTGAGACTGAAGGTAAGAACTCTTTGTGTACTGCCAAGTGAACTAAGCAGATTTAGCAGTTGCCAGCTGGAGTGTCTCTTACTTAATATTCTTGTCAATCCTGCAATCTTCAGAGCATGAATGAGGGAGCACTTAGGATTCAAATGTGAACACTTGCTGAAAAAGTCACAGCAGGTACACAGAAGAGCCACCATTTGAAAGCAGGCTCTGTCACAGAGTGTCCCCCCCCCCTCTGTTCTTATATCCTACAGCATGCATACAGTACACAGGGGAGTCAGGATTCCAACCAGAGCTTCCTAACTGTCCACTACAGTGTGGCTTTGGTCTTATTTTGTTTTTGTATTCACTGATGGGGTAAGAGCAAGAAAAAAAATCTTTTAATTTTAAAAATGTGTGTGAATAATTATATTTAGTTGCAATACAAAATAGGTTTAACTCTTATACTAGAATAAACTTAGTAAGTTTTCAGTTGAAATCACAAAAGTAATTTCAGATCATTAGGAACTACAGAAAAGGCTGGAGAGATAGATCAGCAGTTAAGAGCACTGACTGCTCTTGCAGAGGACCTGAATTCTGTACCCAGCACCCACATGGTGGCTAACAACTGCCCATAACTCCAGTTCCAGGGGATCCAATGCTCTCTTCTGACCTCCATGAGCTTTGCATGACATGGGTACATTTACATACATGCAAGCAAAGCATTCATATAAATAAATAAATAAATAAATAATCAATATTTTTGTTTGTTTTAAAAATATTTTTTAAAGAATCTACAGAAAATAAGAAATTTGTCCAAAGAAAAGGTATATGTTAAATGTCATTTTAATGTGCCAAAAGGAAACTAATGAGGGCTTTCTATGTCACTCGAGACCCAGGCTTAGGGACAAAACACAGGAGGGCTGGGTGGAGTCTGGGGGTAAAGGAAATATGCACAGAAAGTGTGAGGATATGAAGAGAAAAACAAAAGACTTGAAAACCAAACAGAAACAGGAAGGACCTGCCAGCTGAGGGACAATTAAGGCATGGCAGGGGTGAGGGATGTGGTTGGGATGGGGGTAACAATGTGAAACATCAGCAGCAACTCCCCAAGTTCCAAAGGCCCACGTATTCCCAGCATGGCCCAAATTTGGGAACAAATCACCCAGGAAGAGAGCTCAGATCTAGTAGGGAGTTGAGGTCTCATTCTTAGAAAGCATCAGGAACCCAATTGAGCTGTGGCAGACTCAAGGGTAGAGAAAAGTAAGTAGAGGAAAGCTGGAAAAATGGCAACGTGCCAAATATGTAAACTTCATGGATAGAGTCACTATTTGTACTTTATTTTTTGTCTAAGAAAAACTCTCGGGTGGCTGACCAAGCCCATAGTTCGCAAGCACATAGGGCAGGATCAAGCAACAATAGCCTGTGGGAGTTTACTAATATGCCAGTGGCTGATGATCAGCATTCCGTCTCCCAACCTCCCTTTTTGAGACAGAATTCCCTGCCTGTGATCCATCAAACTCAGGCTCCTAAGAGCTGAGACTAGAGATGTGTGTCACCACACCTGGCACGGCATTGCTTTCAATAATAGTTACACAGCTCACAGGTGAGGCGAGCGCTGCAAACAGGAAGCTCTGGCTTTGACCCCGGCATCTAATCAAGTCTCTCTGCTGTCCTTGTCAACAGAACTGAGGGATGCTGACATACTGAAAATCTCTAATTTGCTAAAGGATAGAATTCACGGATTATTGATTCATGATTCTGCTAACATAAAAGGAATTTAAGGCCTATCCCAGGCCTTTATCAGCCTTGTCTACTACAAGAATTTTAATCAATAACTTAGAAAAGGTCAATTGTTAGCATACTTAAGAAAGTTAGAGATACCATTAAGATGCAAGACCATGAATAAGGCAGATGACAATTAAGTTCCAGAAAGATCTCCAGATGGAGAGAAATGAGATTCCACAAACTACATGGCAAGATCTACAATTAGACTTTCCAAAAGCAAGATGTATAACAAAGGAAAACATGGCTTAAAGCAATACACATAAGCGTCTATCAGAAGTCAGTCAAAGCCACAGTTTAACAAGAGTTGGCAAAAATCATCCACCTCAAGAAAGGCTAGAAAGACTTCCCCTTTAAGAAATCTGGGTTAGACAAAGGAATGGGACACCTAACTCCTAGCTACACTAGCCTGCCCAGGCTCCAGGCAGAGGTTCAGAGGTATGCATCATACTTGAAAGCAAATGGACATCCATAATCTGTTGAAAACTTCAAAATCTGAGAAAGGAGAGAAGCTGACAGAACTAAGGATACAGTCACAGCAGAGAACACATATTGACAGCTGGTGGGCCAAAAGAAAGCATGACATGTCAATGCAATACCAATGAACTAGGCATGAACAGCTAAGCTTGGCGGCCTATATACCTAGGGAAAGAGGTGCAGGTGCTGAAGAGTCCCCATTTCCCTGGGCAAGGCCACCACTCCTTTCCAGGTCTCATCTGACATATCTACTCAGCTACGAACCCCAGGATGTCCAGGAGCCTCCAGGAATCAGCTCTCAGCAGCTAGCCTGCCTGTAGCACTGTTAGATTGGACCCTATGAACCTACTATACCTCAAGTGTCAGAACAGGCAAAATACTAGCTGTGGTTTAATGTATCTATCCTGAATTCTTTTAATCTAATCAGGGCAGAGCACTGGGTCACCACAAAGGTTATCAGAGTGTGCCCTGGAAGGCACAGATCCTTCCCTGCCAAATCAATGTTTTTATTTTGAAGTTCTGCTTAGATGAATGTTTCCATAGGACATGGGTATTTTTTTTCTACATGAGGCAACCCGTATGTCAATGAAGGGAGCAACAACCCATGTGTCACTCTGACTCCAGTGTCAATTTTCATACGTGAATAAATACAAGGGGAGCAAGATGTTACTTAAAAACTCAGTGTCAAGAAAATACCCCAAACATCAGGTAGAAAGGAAGATATAGCCTACAGTTTCAAGATATAAAATGAGAAACCTTGAAAAACATGTGCCCGAAGACATCCCAAATGGATAGACTAGAATTAATCCCTGCAGGGAAATTTTAAAGTATGAAATCGAGCAATTTCCCAGCAGTGAAAGCTACCAGCATTCTCACTTTAATTACATATGCTCTGCACCCCTATGCTTGCCTAGATACATGCAATAGTCCTTTAGGAATTCACTTCAAATGTAAGTTTCTACGCAGCAGAAAGATTCACACGCTAGGTCTAGAAGATGGGTTGGGGGTAAAGGCGCTTACCTGAAGCCTGATGGCCTGAGTTCAAGCCACAGAATGTACATGGTAAAGAGAGGACTGACACTGGGAGGTTGTCCTCTGACTTCTGTATTCATGTTGTAACATGCACATGCCCATACTCAAATACACAAAATGAAATGGAGAGAATCACATTTAGTTGCAACAGCAAACAAATCTGTAAGTTTTGTGGCTAGAATAAATGATCACTTTTGTTGTTGCTGCTGTTGTTTTTAACAAATATCCAAGAGAAAATGAGATAAAAGTGTTTTAAAAAGAATTACACACACACAAATAATCTGCTTACCTGTAATACAAATTTCTGATCTATGTATTTTTTGGCAATGCTGGGTTGGAATTCTTGGCTTTCCAAAAATCGTATGAAAAATTCATATACAAGCTGCAACAAACAGATCACAGTTAACTTTAAATGAAAATTCATTAAGAAAAATATTAAAAGCTACAAAAATCACATTACAGTAAAATTGACCAGGCTTGGAAAATCAGGTTTACATATCAACTCCTGAACCATGCTGGCCTTTTTTGTTACAGTCATTAGTGTATTTTTTAACTTTTAAAATTAAAAAGCAAGAAATATAGCCAAACAAAACAGATAAAAATCCTCCATATACTCATCATTTAAAGACAATGACTATTAACATTTTATTTTATTTTTATTTTTATTACTGAGGGAGAGGAGGTGCATGCATGTGGAAAGGTCAGAGGACAGCTTGCAAGAGTTGGTTCTTTCCTTCCATCATGTGGGCCCATGGGGATAGAACTTAAGTCAGCTTAGTGGCAAGTGTCTTTACATGTTAAGCTATCCTGCCTACCCCACTGCTATTATTTTAAATTAAAATCCTTTTTGTTTACTTTTTTTTGTGTATGAGTGTCTTGTCTGCATGTATGTAACTATACCCGTGCCATGCAATGCCCTTGGAGGCCAGAATAAGGTGCTAGATCCCTTGGAACTGGAGTTACAGATAGTTGTTAACTACCATGTGGATGCTGGGAACCTAAGGCAGGTCCTCTGCATGAGCAGCCAGTGCTCTTAACTGCTGCTGAACCATCTTTCCAAACCCCACCCCTGCCCCACATTTTAATGTGTGTGTCTCCCACTGCAACACACCATTGCACTATAAATAGATCTTTACAGGGCTGGAGAGATGGCTCAGAGATTAAGAGCACCGATTGCTCTTGCAAACGACCCAGGTTCGATTCCAGCACCCACATGGCGGCTATGAACCATCCTTCACTCCAGTTCCAGGGGAGTCCGAGGCCCTCGTCTGACCTCCATAGCATTGCATGACACAGGTGCACTCACATGCATGCAGGCAATACACTTATACACATAAAACAAAAATAATCGATAAAATATTTTTTTAAAAATAGATCTTTACATAGGTAAGTTACTTTTGTCATCTTAAACAATATATTGTGAACAATTTGTCAACAATATCTAAACCATCATTTTTAGTAGATGCAAACTGTTCATTATTCATAATTTATAATGAATGCCATTATTCAAAATCTCCAATGCTTAGATATTTAAGTAGTCTCTGCACTATTTCCCTAGCAAACTGGGTCACAAATGTGTATCACACAAAAGGGTGTACTTCAATTACTTCATGAGTAGGTAACTGTCAGATTTTAAATTAAAAAAACAAACAAACATTCAGGACTGTTCATAATCACTGCCAAATTTCTTTTCAGAAAGTTTATGTCAGCTACGCTCTTACAAGCAATATGTTTGGGACTTTTTTTTTTTTTTTTTTTTTGGTCTTTTTTAGACAGGGTCATTCTACAGCCCCAACTGGCCTGGAACTCACTATACAGACCAAGCTGGTGTCAATTTCATAGAGATCCACCTGCCTCTGCCTCCTGAGTGCTGGGATTAAAGGTGTGCACCACCTCGCCCAGCTACACAAAATATGTTTGCATAACATAATATTCTCTTAAAAAACAGCAGTCTCAATAGGCAGAGTCAATTTCAAATAACTGCTCTGATAAACAGTGCAGATCGATGTTTATTCTCTTAATTTGCATAATAAATCTATGTTAAATGCCATGTTGTATCTTGTGCTACACAGCAGTATTAATGAACCAGAATTTCTAAGACAAAAACACTGGGCTGGAAGACTGGCTCCATCCCTTACTAGCTATATACATCCAAGCAGGTTAATTTCTTTGAAATTTGTTTAATTTGGGGTTTTTGTTTTGTTTTGCTGTTTTTATAATTTATTTATTATTTTTATTTTATGTGTATGAGTGTATCTCCTACATGTATGTGAGTGGACCCGTGCCATGCAATGCCCACAGAGATCAGCAGAAGGCATCAGATCTGCTGGACTGGAGTTATGGATTGTTGTTAGCTGCCATGTGGGTGCTGGGACCAGAACCCAGGTCCTCTGTAAGAGCAGCCAGTGCTCTTAAACACTGAGCCATCTCTCCAGCCCCCAAATTCTGTTTAATTTTGTAATAGCGGTAAGATTAAATGTGATATTACACACAAAGCCTTCTGCACAGTTACAAACACATAGTCATTGTCACATCACCTTAAACAGCACTGCAAGTGTTTGTCTTTTTCTCATACACTTAAATAAACAAATATGCCCCAAAAGCTTTTTATTTATGAGATAAAAAGTACATATGTGTATCTAAATTATATATATATATTAAATATATTTTAAGAAAAGTGGAGAAAAACTTAAATATATATCATTTCATCTTAAAATACAGTCCATATTAATACTTTCACAAGTATTTTTGTGAAAAATAACTGTTTTCTAAAAAAACTTTTTTTAAAAGAGAAGCATTAAGCTGGGTGTGTTGGCACATGCCTGAAATCCCAGCACTTGGGAAAGTGAAGCAGGAGGGGCTGTGAGTTCAAGGCCCAGGCTGTCTACTTATAAGGCCCTGTCTTGAAAAACTAAGATAAATAAAGAATAGCATTCTTGCCGTTTTGGTAAGTTCCTCAGTACTGGTATTGCAGAAGACAGATTCTCATCTGTTTCAGCACTCAAGTTGTGATTCATTGTTTTGGTTGAAGTATATAAAGATAATCAAGGTTGAGAAAAGAGAGACTATTTTAAAGTCTTTTCATTTAATTGTGGATATTCTTCTTTAATGTGACACCAAACTCAACGAGTTGTCATTTCTAAAAAATGAGTTGCAGGGCTAGGAGGATGGCTTCATGGTTAAAGTGCTAGCCATCCAAACAAGAGAGTTGGCATTCAGAACTCACATAAATGCTAGATGGGCACAGAGGCCGACCCATAGTTCCAGCCTGGGAAGGCAAAGACAGGGGAAACTCAGAGCAAGCTGGCTAGCAGAACTAGATACCTTAGTGAGCTTTGAGTTTGAGAGACCTTGTCTCCAAGGATAAGGTAGAAAAGCAATCAAGGAAGAGTCCCAGCATCAACCTTGGGCTTCCCCATGTACACACACACACACACGCATGCATGCTCCCACACATGCTAAAATACCCACACGTGACATATACATGACAAGAAAACATAAAAAAAATAAAAAGACAAGCTACTATGCAGAATCTGAAACGCTACCAATACTCTTCATACCATTGCTACACTAAAACCCCAAGTATCTTGTAATCTAGGTGGACTTTGATCATGCATGTGTTCTTTTTTTTTTATGTGTATGCGTGTATTGCCTGCATGTAGGTAAGTGCACTCGTGCTGTGCAATGCCCGCAGAGGACAGAAGAGGCTGTCGGATCCCCTGGAACTGGAGTTATGGACAGTTGTTAGCTGCCATGTGGGTACTGGGATGCGAACCTGGGTCTTCTGCAAGAACAATCAGTGGCATGTGTTCTTAACATGAGTTTTTTCCCAACTGGAAAACAGTGCTTAATGAGGCTTATGCAGATCTTTCAAATATTGATGCATCCAATTTCAGTATCTTTAAAAAAAAATAATAAAAGTGGGTAAGACACCTTAACCTAACCTAAGAAAAATTTGGCAGCCAATGGCTGCTGAGAGCAGGGAAGAGACTCTCTTTCAAGAGTGGGACTCTTGGTAGGTTAACCAAGATCCAATGGATGGACCCACACTGAAGGGCATTTGGAGACACAAATTAGACTCTATAGGTATGTAGGGGTGTGTGTGTGTGTGCGTGCGTGTGTGTGTGTGTGTAATAGAGTACATTAAGTTGGGTGGGCAAGAAGGGGAGGTGTGATTAGGGGAGGGGATCTAAATACCATCAAATTATATTGTATGAAAAGCACAAAAATTTGATTTAAAATGTTAAAAATAAAAATAAATCACATTTTTACCTTTTCCCAAGAACAGTGTTTAAATTTGGGGAAGATGAAATGCTTGATATAAAACATCTACTATATAAGTATCAACCAAATGCCTAAGTCTAATAATCAGTTTGTTGTTTTCTTAACTACAAATAATATCTCATGAAACATCAGTTCATGTAGCCTGCCATTCAAAGCAATCACACGGTGTCTTTCCACAGGATAACCACTACACTGCAGTATGTAGTACATGTGATTTATGCATATTTTCCATTTTGCCATGCAGAGTATTTTTTAATGTTCCCCCCCCCCCTTTGGTTGTTAGTCGTAGCTGTGCTATCCCTCCAGTCCATGCAGAGTATTTGTTAATATATGTTCAGGGATGAAAATTTAATAAAATTCAGGTGGGCGTGGTGGCAAGCACCTTTAATCTCAGCACTCCGAGGCAGATGCAGGCAGAACTCTTGTCAGTTTCAGACCAGCCAGGGCTACATAGTGAGTCTCTGCCTAAAAAAACAAAAAAACATAAGAAACAAACAAACAAAAAAGCCAGGCGTGGTGGTAGACACCTTTAATCCTAGCACTAGGGAGGAAGAGGCAGGTAGATCTCTGTGAGACTGAGGCTAGTTTGGCCTAGATGCTAGCTCCCTAGCTGGGGATACAGGGAGACTCTGTCTCAAAAAATTAAAAACCAAAAGCAAACAATCAAGGACAGTCTGAAAGGAAATCGGCATTTTTAAATTACAAGAGCACAACAGTGAGGAGCACAACTCATACTTGAGCGGTTTCACATGACTGTCTTTATCTGTGCTAAGTCAGCAGCATTCATCATCACTGCTTTTACAATGAATGGTACAAACAGTGTAACAAATAGCCAGCATAGGACAAAGGTAAATACTGTCGTACTATGATAAAAGAAGTACTGGACACCAGCAAGAAGACTCTGCAGGTAAAGGTGCTTGCCACCAAGTCTGACAAGCCAAGTTCAATCCCTGGCACCTACACGGTACACAAAGAAAAGCAACTCTTTCAAGTTGTGCTTTGAACTCCACATACACACTCACATGCATATATATATATATACATATATATATATATATATATAAATGCAATCAATTTTTAAAAATAGAAGTGTTGGCC